TGGGAGAACTTGCACAATTGGTGGCTGACTAAATACTTTTTTGCCCCACTGTATCTGCTCTACCACTGAGTTATTATCTCTTATCTACCTTGATTATCTTGAACCAGGAATTGTCTACTCACCCAGAAAGATGCAAGTGACAGTGTTCCTCATTGCCTTCTTGTGCGAGTGAGTGAATAAATGACTGTTTTTTGCCTGTCTTTCAGAGTTAAAGCATAAAGGAACTTAAAAGGGCTATTAATACCACAGTGCATTAGTACATACTTCCTAGAATCTGGGGGAGGGATATTGTTATTCACCAAAAAATGTTACTGTCTTTTGACCTCAGAAAGTTTATCAGCCTTGCTCATAAACCTATGAATTATTTTTATCATAATATCCAGTCTTTCTAGACTGTACAGTATAGTGGTAACAAACACTAGTCTTTCCTAGTATTTCTACCTAACGTTCTTTCTACTCAATCTATGTACATACTTCACATGAAAAAAAAAGTCTGTTTCAAGACATTTCTTTTGTTGCCTAAGTAGATCCTGCACTTCTTTCTTCTAAAAATGACCTCACATATATTAATTTACAAAGAGAGAGGAGGATTATATTCTACAAACTGAAGCATAGCCTCCAGCTTCATTGTTATTTTCAAGAGTGCCTCTGGACCACATAGGTGCCCTAACAAACAAATATGTCAAGGGAATGCAGTGTTTGGAAGCATAACCACCTATCTATCTGCCAAATGTCATGGATTGGCTGAACAATTATGATTTGGAGGATATGTCTGCTAGCAAAAGTCACTCTGGGAAATCCTGGATTGTTAGCTCCAAATGTGGGGGAACAACTAGGGAGGAATTCTATGCAGTGACAGTGGAAGCTCCTCCTTTCCTGTTAAAATGGCACAAAAACAGGCTGGTGCACAAGATTAAACCAAGTCTTATACATGCAAAGGCTGGCCATTTGGGAAAAGGAGACAGGGTACAAGAGAATACACACTGGCCAGCTGAGTGAGCTCTGCTCCCCATGGACACACTGCAAATGGGTGTGTTTTACTTCAGTGGGAGGCTTTTTACTCCATGACTTCTCAAGATGGAGCTGTTGGGATTAAGCTGTACATGAGATACCCCAACGTTCAGTGCAGTCTGAAGGTTGGATTTGGATGGTTTTTTATTAACAGAAACTTTTGGGGGAGTCTGAGAGTGATTAAAGCTAATGGGTTAATTTACTGATTACTCCTATAATTTAAAAAAATAGATGAAGGAGCTTTTCTTCATACAAAAAGAAAAAAAAAAGAATTTTCAAAAACTAGTTAGTGAAGGGTTTTCTTATCCAAAAGAGTATCTTATATTTAAGACTTGCTTCAGAGCTGAAATAAAGGTCTTTTCTTATCCAAAAAAATATTTTCTTTTCAACATCTCATTCAAGAAATTCAAGCCAAATAAACTGTGGCAAATCATTGAGACTAAATGCAAAAAGAGTGAACAATTAAGAACATCTTGGAATAACCCAGGGAGAAAAAAGTATAAGCATAAGGAAGATAAAGAAAATCAGATATCACAAAACAAAGAACTGGAAGAGCAAACAATTAACCCCACCCAATTAGAAGCAGATAGTAAATGTACTCAATTTGACAAACCTAACCTGAGTATCTGTGCAAAGAAGTATATGCACAGAAGTATTCTGTCTCCCTGAGTTCTCTTTCCACTGTCAGACTTGACTGTCTGACTAGAGGTAGACAGCTCTACCTGTTATGAACAGATTCCTGGTCAAAGCATGTGCAATTTCATGGGCCCTTTCTGTTCCCAGCCTTTGTAAGCTTTGTCCTTAAGACAATTTTCTGAACTGGCCTCTGCCTCTAATTTTAACAAAGGCCTTCACAGCTGTCCAGTCTGAGCCCTATAGGTAGACAACATGACAGAAACTGTAGTTCATTGCAAAAAATGAACTTAACTGACATGCAAAATATAGGGCAGCCAGTGTTTAGTATCATCTCTTTATACTATTTCTGAGAAGATAAATAAATTCTACCTTTTTTGTCTGCATAGACCATTGCCAATCTAATACCTAGAATAAATGAAATGGAATTATAATAGTATACTCAATACTATAATTGTCTTTAAAGTACAATATATTTCTTGCTGAAATAACTTCTCAAAAACCTAGATTGCTTTGTCATAAACCAGGGCTTGTAATTTGTCTGGTATCATGGCTGATTTGGAGCATTTGTTATCATCATTACAATAAATAAAAATCTACCACTTACATTGAAAATAGGGATTGTTGAAATCTTAGGCTAAATGATTCATGAAGCAGATTACCATTTCACAATTGGAAAACTAACTTGTATACTATGATCACTATATTAAAATGTCATACTGATTTCATATATGCATGGAAAAGTCTTTCTTACCCCAAAATTGAATGTGAATATAACCTGAATTTCATATAAAACATATTCTAAACTTGTATAACAACAACAACAATGGAAATATTTCACTGTGCTGAGAGAACATAATAAAGATAATAATAATAGTAATATAGTCAGAATATTTTGGTAGAACATAACACTATAACATCTGAAAATAGTGAATCAGATTTTAAAATATTAAGTTGTACTATCATATTACAGATTAAAATTAACAAAACAGAGGTGCAGTATGAGAGATTGACTTGGTCAGAGTGGCAATATAAAACATCTCTTTCTTCCTCCTTTTCTCCCTCTGGCTACAGTTTGTGGGCATCAATAAATAACTGATTTTATGTCTGTCAGATTTAAAGAATAAAAGAACTAAAAAGTGCTGTAAACATTACATTGAATTAATATACACTTCCTAAAATCAGGGGGAGATATATAAACACTCACTAAAAAAAACCCTGCTTTTTTATTCAGCATATGTTTGTTTGCTTGTTTGTTTATACACACACACACACACACACACACATATATATATATGGTATAAATTTATCAAACAATAATAAATGCAATACAGCTGATGATGATACTATCTATCTATCTATCATAAATAAAACTTATAAAAAGATATTAATATACATGTAGTTCAGTCCTTTGACATATTATTAAACCTACACCATAAAGAAACATACTGTTCTACATTCTCATGTCTACAGTATATACAGATTTCAAAAACTAACAAAGGACCATGTCTTGAATCCAGACTTTTTGACATCTGGAGTATTGTTTTCTTTCGACCTATATGGAATTATTCTTTTAGCCAATCCCAGGATTCAACAGAGCCAAAGTTCTTCATGAAATGTCAAATTCCACATTTCTGGAGTATAGTTCAGCATCATCTTTACCTTTTTAACAATTAAATTTTCCCCCAAACTTGTGTTAACATATGTAATTACTTGAAACAAAAAACAAACCACAAAGGAACATGACCAAATCTTGTGAATTGAATGGCCCTCAACTCAAGAAAAAAAAAATCCAGTATCTATTTTTAAAAAAAACATTCCTTGGGAAGTTCTCATGAAACAACATTTCTGATGACTGAACTTCATCCCTAAATCATAGGGGTACTTGGTCTTAAGTCCCCGCTCAGAAATAAATGAGTCAAACTGCTCCATGTTATTCAAAGTTGTACGTATGTAGCAGTGATTCTCTAAGGTAAAGAAACACTGAGTTGTTCGTAATATTCCTACTTAATGCTTTTGAAATAGAGAAACTAGAGAGGGAATCTGCACTATGTACACTATGTATGTAATTTTAGTAGGTGTACTAAGCTTGTGTGTTACATGAGAAGATACCAGTGTGTTTCAGGATCGCACAGACTGACTACAAACAATGGCATGACAAATAGCAACAATAGTGCATAAGAATAGCTGCAAGAAATGCCATTTGTCTGCAAGCAAGAACTGGTGGGACCACAAAACAAAGTAATAGAAAATTAAGAAGCTAAAGTGCTCTGAGACTTTAGAATTCAAAAAGACAAGCACCCTACCACATAACGCCCCAGACTTAACAATTGTGGATAAGAAAGACAAAAAAGTCTGGATAGTGAACATTGCAATACTGGAGACAACAATCTCTCCAGCAAAACAGACAAAGTAATAGTCTGTGAAAATCACAAAATACAAGAACCTGCAAAGAAGTAGAATGACTGTGGCAAAAGAAAGCAAAGATAGTACCAACAGTAATAGGTGCCTTGGGTGCAATTCCAAAACATCTGGAGCACCATGTGAATACCATCGGCATTGACAAAAATCACCATCAGTCAATTGCAAA